GCTCTTCCCTCTTGGACAGGCAGAGGAGAAACAGGCCCCGTGAAAGGGGGTGGCGAGGGCAGCAGGCGCCCCTCACCCCCGCCCGGCCTGCTTCTTGTCCCAATTCAGGGGTCTCCAGCGGGAGCATCCTTGTCTTCGACGTTCCTCCCAAAGGCACCAACATCACCCTGAGCGAAGTCCTGGGGAAGCACCGCGCAGCCATCACGGACATTGGCCCAGAGCTGTGTGTGCAGCCGGTAAGGCAGAAGCTGTTCCTCTCCTTGTCCTGGAGGAAGCCTGGCCCCAGAGAAGGATGCTGGATGGGGTCAGACCCCCCCACACACACACACACTTGGGGGTGGCGTGGCAGGGCTGGCCAAGACGCCCTTGTTCACGGCTCTTTCGATGCAGACCGAGAGGAACCCACAGAGAAGCCCTGTGGGCTGTTTATGTACCACCCCATAGTGCTTAAAGTGCTCTCTGAGTGGTTTGCCATTTGGAATTCTGCAGGCCACACGTGGCTCCCCACCCCCACCCCCCACGAACTGGGTACTCAGTTTACTGACCTCGGAAGGTTGGAAGGCCAAGTGAACCTTGAGCCAGTTTGGGACGAAACTCAGCTTCATGAGCAGAGTGTTCGCTGCAGGAGTGCAGTGTCACCACATCCCAGAAGGCTCGAGGAGGAGGAGGAGGAGATCTTTCCCTGGGGCCCTTCGCAGGCAAACAGAGAGATGATGTGTGGCTTGGTTGCAGGTATCATCCTTGTCAGGACTTAATTTTATAGCTGCCTTTTATAGCTGGAGTTTGCCTGGGCCCAGGCCTCTCAGGACAGGTGACCTGGAACTCACAGCTGAGTGGTCTTGGAGAACCTGAGTCGGAGGCAGGCCCCACCCAACCCAACCCCCACCGATTTCATCATGTTGTAGAGCCCCCCCCCCGCAAGGCGGGCAGAAGCCAGCCCCTTTCTCTGGCAACACGAAACGCCTGGTTGGTGGCTTAGCTGCCCAGCTGCTGCAGGAGGCCCAGATGTCATTGCTCACACGCACACACATCCAGCGGATGCTTTTAATTCACTGGCATGGGCTACGAGAGGCTGCCTGATGTCTCTCTTTTTCTGTTGCAGGAGGGATCTGCCGACTTGGTCACTGCCGACGACGCTGGGGCCTTGTGCGCCTGGCGTTCTGGGGAGAAATTTGAACTGGTCTCCCACGTCCCAGTTTCTGGGTAAGGGCAGTGGGACGGGGTGGCCTCTCAGGCCAAGTGGGTCTCGCCAGGTCCACTCCCAAAGAAGAGGAAGCAAGTGCTCGGGGCGAGTCTTTCTCCCTTCGTTTTGCTCTGCCCGCCCAGTGTGGAGCTGGTGACTGGTGCCAGAAGAGGGAGTGGGGAGGAGGAGGAGGAGGAAGTGGCCTGCCTTCTCTGCTCAAGGTGGGCTTGCCCACCCCAAGTTCAGAGGAGGGCCACGCTCCTGGGTGGTCTTGTGGACAAGGGAGAGCTGAAGGGGCCCGTGGGAAGCTGACCGCTCCCCTTGGCCCAGGAGCTCCCTGGGACTCCCGCGAGCTCTTCGCCCACGCCAGCAGCCTCCCTCGGGGCAGGGACCGAAGAGGGTGTGCCGGCAGGGGGGGCTCCTTTCCCTTGGCCAGGAGCCCAGCGGTGGCCGCTGTTCTTGCCCCTGCCCAGGTGCCCTTGTTCCTCTGTGAAGCTGTGGAATGGAGTCATCGCTGCTGGTTTTGGGAACGGGCAGATCCGTCTCTACGAGGCGGCCAGCGGGGCCCTGCAAGCCGAAGTCAGCGCTCATGCCCGCTGGATCTATGCCCTAGATGTGGCACCACAATCAGGGAAGGTGAGCCAGTTCCTCGCTTGGGGGGCCAAGATCTTTTGGGAGATTAAGTTGGGGGGGCAGAGGGAGGTTGCTGCAGGAGGAAGACGCCCCGGAGAAAGATGCCAAGCCCCTCCTGCAGGGATGTGCCAAGGAGGCACCCGGGTGACCACGCAGCCCAGGCAAGTGTTGCCGCGGGAGGTGAGGCGGCTTTCGCTCAGGGCGAGGTGGCCACCTGGGAGATGCCGGGCGTGGAGCTCTGGGGCCACTGTCCTCTGGTCCTGCCCTCCTGGTGGCAGGGCTGCTCCTGCCTGGCGGTTCCCAGGCCCCCTGAGAGAGTGGCCTCTCTCTCCTGGCAGGGCTGCCCAGTGACACTAGGGGGGCTCCCAAGAGAAAGGGGGAGGGAAGGCACCCCGTCTGAGGGCCTTCCAGCGCTGCTTTCCTTTTCCCCACACAGCTCCTGTCAGCCGCTGAGGACTCCTTTCTGCAGGTCTGGAGGCTGAACCACAATCTGGACGCCGAGGCCATTGAGGTCAGCAAGAGGGAACTGGACTGTCCAGGCTGCTCCTCCACGCTGGGCTGGGCTAGGCTCATGGCCTGCACTGTCCAACTGAAGAGGCGAGTCTGCCAGCAGAGCTGCCAGGATCTCTGCTGAGGCCCAAGGGAGAGGGCTGCCCTGCCCAGGTGCCCTCCAGGGGAGGGGGAGGGGGAGGCCTGCCCTAGGGGCAGCTGCCCAGAAGGGCTCCTGTCTCTTCTCCCTCTCTCCCCCTACAGATTGAGCATTGCCATGGAGAGTGCGTGACAGACACCCTGCTGTGCGGGGCCCGCTTCTGCAACCCAGAGGGCACCGCCTTTGCGGTCACTGGCTTTGAGCTCAGCGAGATAATCCGCTACGTCCAGGCATGAGCGCCGCCTGCCAATGGCAGGCAAAGGTCCAGCCGGAGACCAACAAGGGGAGCCAACACTGGCTGGAGCTTGCAGTAGCCAAGGGGCCACCGCCTGGGAGCCGGGAACTAGCGGGATGGTCGGTTAGTCCAGCTTGCTTTCCAGGCTGCTATGAGAGCACCGACACGCCCCCCCCCTTTTCCAGGGATTCCCCTCCCGCCCTGCCCTGCCCTGCCCTGGTTTCTTTCTGCTTTGGGCTTTGGCAAGGCAGATGTCGGGGACTTCCCTGGGAGCCTGGCTGCCCCAGAAGACCCCGGGGGAAGGCCTGCCCTGCCCATCGCTTCATCCCCCCTCCCCGGGGGGGGTCACTCAGGTCCCTTCCCCAGCCAGCTCCACAAGCCCCCCATTGCTGCCAAAAGCCATCCAAAGCAGAGCCACCTGGCTTTGCCCCCTCAGGAGAGGGGCAATCTTATTTCTACCACGCTGCCCGAGGTCCCTCCTCACCACAGAGCAAGGCAGGGCGGCTGGCTAAAGCTTGCATTTTTGCTACTCCAAAACCTGTGTCTGCTTCTTGGATAGATGGTGTTGACCTTCGTGGGATGGGACAGGTTGTGTCCCCTCCCCCCCCACACACACCAGGAATCTTGTTTAACTTGGCAGGTTTTTGTGAACAAGAGATGCTCCAGCCACACACTTGCTGGAATGCAGGCTGAAGTCCAGCCGCTCTCCCCGATAGGAGGCACGTGGTGCTAAAAGGGAGCCGAGGGCTCTCCAGTGCCCTCCGGGACCTGCCTGCCTGCCTGCCTGCCTCTGCAGCACTTCCCCCTTCCAGGCAGGGGAAGGCCTGCTTTTTCAGTTCCGCTGCTGCTCGCTCTCACACTGAGCTTCCCCTCTGAACCTCCCATCCTGCACAAGGCTCCCACGTTCACCACCACCGTCTTGCTGTTGCAGGCTCAGGGAATGTGGAGTGACAGGCCCTTGACCCACCCCTTCCTCACCCCACACCCCCCTGGCGAAATGGAGACACCCAGCGAGAGGATCCAGTGGCAGAACCCCCCTCCTTGTTTACTGCTGGAGAGCTGAGTGTGTGTGTGTGTGTGGGGGGTTAGGTATCCAGCTGCACAGCCAGAGCTTGGGAGTTCCGATTCCCTGCCGCGCTGGCCTCCTTTGACAAGGGCTGGATCCGACGATCCCTAGGCTGGCCCTGTAGCTCCCTGGCCGTTTGCGTCCTCAGCCAGGATCCACCGCGGGGCCCTAGAGCTTGCTGAACGAGGAGGGTCCTGCCAGGAGGGACGAAGCTCTGTTCAATGACCAGTGCATGGTTCTAGGATAGATTCTCCATTGTCATGGTGTGTCCCTGCCTGTACATCTGCTACACAAGTAAAGCCGAGGATGTGAAGTATTTGATCTGTCTGGTTGGTTTTACGCTCTCTCCCTCCTGCTCGCTCGTGCCGGGCTCCACGCCGGATGGACTGGAGTTCAACACTGGGAGCCCCTTCCTTTGTATCAGTTCTCCCAACTTTTAACCGGAAACGCAGGTAGCAATCCACCTCTGCACGCAGAAAGCAGGGGCCATATCCTGCACCCCTGGGCCTTTTCGAAGAGCTCACCAAGTACGAGGGACCCTTGCGCACTGCAGCTGCTTCACGTGGGGCCCAGCAAACCTCTCTGCAGTGATGGGGAGAGAGCCATGCTGCTCGGGTTCCCAGGAGGGGTGCTGGGGGAGAAGTGGCCGTGCCGTCTCTCTTGACTAGAGCCCATTCAATGGTTAACAAAACCCAGTTTGTGGCCAGAGGCCCTCAGAAGCTTCCCCTTGCAGCCGTTTGTGCATTGGTGTGCCTTTGCCCAGATTATGGCAGCTTCCGCTGTGGCCAGGAGCCCCAGAGCAGCCAGCCTGGGGAAGGGCAAAGCTGCCCTCCACCATGCCTTTGAGGCAGCTTTTCTGCCCATCTGAATCCAGCCTCCTTTGCGGGGGCTTTAGCACTTCCCTGTGCTACCTGAGAGGTTGCGCCGAATGCCACACACAGTGAGCCCCATGGAATGGGCTCCTCCCTAAAGAGGCCACCCAGCCCTGGCATCAATGGCTCCAGGCTCCTTGGGACCCCCTCTGTCCTCCCCCCCCCCATGCAAAGGGGTCTCCTCCAGCAGCCATGACACGCTACAGCTGCGGACACCGAGCACAGGGAGGAGCAGAGATCCTTCGGGGCTGGGATCCAGGGTGAGCCTGTATTTCTCTGCTAGAACAACTGCGTGGTTGGCGCTTCTGGGATGCAGAGGGCAGCCCCTTCCCTCCCCGAGCCATCCAGCTAGCCAGGGGTTCCCCTGACCCTCTTCCCTTTTGAAGCCCCCCGAGAGGCTGCCCGTTGCCCCCTCCTTCCAAAGTGGCAGAGGTGTCCTTGATAGAATTGCCCGCTGGAGAGCAGGGAGTCCCAGGAGACAAACTGTCTGGTTTTCTGGCCAGGGGGTCATGAAGGAAGGGCCAGCTCGCCCTGTGTGGGGGCTGACCCACACACAGCTGTTGTGTCCTGAAGCCCTGCTTGCTGCTGCTGCAGCTGCAAACGCAGGCAGGCCTGTTTCCCATCAGAGGTCCTGCCTNCCCCGGTCTCAGGCCATCACAGACAGACTGGAGCATCCCCACACCAGAGGTCCCCTCTGTCTGCAGCCAGGAGGTGGAGGCCAAGGTGAGTCTCCCTGTGCAAGACCGGGCCCCGTTTTCCCCTTCTAGCCGTTGGAGGGAACCCCCCCCCCAACACACACATACCCTTCCATCACCTGCTGATGCTTTTAAGGCAAACTTTGTTGGGACTCCTTTGGGCACTTCTGGGTTTGGGGAAAAGATCTTCTGAAGCGGGTTCTGCCCCACTCCGTCTTTTACATCCATAATCCAGGTTGGCAGGGCGGAAGGCAGCCTTCTCAGGCAGCACCTGTGGCAC